CCATATCTCGTACAAATGGCAGGGGACAACAACAGAAGTAGATTCTTGAGGGGAGGCCTGAGCCAACAGCTGCGCCTTCTCGACCTCGAGAGCCACAACTTGGTCTCCCAGGCTCGAGGCATCCCGCTCGAGCTCACCGATCCGCTCCTCGAGCCTTGCCTCCCTCAGTGTGGTCGTCGCCCTCTCAACCTCCCTCTCAGACCTAAGGAAGAGGACAGTGTCTTCCAGCGCCGCTGCCCTCGCCAAAGCTGCCACTCGGGCTCCATCGGCCCTCTCTAACTCGAATACCTTCCTTTCTAACTCAGCCACCTTCTCCGTCCACTCTGCGCTTAGATTGGCAACTCTAGTGGCATTCTGCTCAAGCTCGGTTCGCAAAGACAACACATTCACCTGAAGATCCTCGCATTCCGCCGCAACCCCTTTGCCCACCTCAAGCTCCTCGTCCTTGACCCTAAGCAGCCCCTCGAGCTCGCTACATCTGCGGATAGACCGCATCAGATCCTCATCCCTTTTCTCCAACTCCTCCCTGAGGGATTGAGTATTACTGCCCGCCCTAAGCTGCGCGTGCATCTCACGGCACCTATCGCGATACCGGCGATACTTCGCGGCCATTTTTAGAAAGACATCGGCCCGCGTCTCAGCCCGATGAGCACTCTTGATCTCCAGCATGTAAGTCAAAAAAAAAAAAAAGAATCAGCGAAAGCAAATGGCACAAAACAACAAAAATAGCAAAAGTAACTCACCCTCAAGGCCATCCCAGCCATACCGCGTGACAAACCAGAATCGCTGCTCTCCCAAAGAGACCTGCTTTTAGCGGCGGAGCACAGAAGGTCAAATTGGGCCACCAAGTCCACCGTGTCCTCCAACAGGTTAAAGTCCGATGGAATTTCGAGCACACGAGAAGGACCTTCCGCCCTCACATTGATCCTGGTAAAACCTTCCTCGAACATCCTCATATCCTCAGGATCAATATCAGAATCAGATGCATAATCATCTACCACTACGCCCTTCAACCTCTCATTAGTCGAATAGGGGGCGCGTCCCTGCCGAGACGTTGATGGACCGCTCGGAACAATCACGGCGGCCTCCGAACTCTGTCCCTCTACCACGGCAGCCTCTTCCACGATCGAAATAAGCATCGCCTTCACACCCAGGTTGGCATCACCGCCGGCTTCAGACACCGCCGAAACAAGGTCATCCCTTGAGAGCGTTTCAATCAAAGACGCCCCCTCCGATATTACCCTCCGCCTCTTTGACGGGGCCTCTTCACCACCATCATAAGAAGGTTCGTCCGCCGAAAGAACTGTGGGGACCGGAGTGTCCGACCGAAGAGCGACCTCCGAACGAACAGGTTCGGACGCGGACGCGGTCCGCGGAACGGCCAGACTTTGGACGCCCTCATCCACAGCTACCACTAGTATGGGCCTGGCAGAAGAAGCCGGCTGACGGAAAGCAAACACAGAGGCCCTCGCCCTTCTCGCTCTCCTCTGACCTGCCAATGAAAGAAATTCTACCAAACGAAGATATAAGGTAAAGGAAAATACGGAGCAAAGAACAAAGAAACTAAGGCCGAAACAAGCCAACTCACCAGCGGAAGGTTTGCGCCCAAACCTCTTGTGGAAAGGTGCCCATTCGCGAATCCCCATCGTGTGGGGCAGAATTGACCTCACCCACTCGGGAATATTAGCAATTTGCGGAGGAGGTACTCTCTCGGCTGAAAAAACAAAAACAAAAAACTCGACGAAGTCACTAAAGGGAGACGACCAACGGCCATTTGAAAAAAAAAAAAAGGAAAGACCTACGGGCGAAATTCCACGTCTCAGGAAAACCTCGCAGGGTTCGATACCACATGCTCTGTTCGGACATAGAAGAAGTTCTCCCAGAAGAGGCGATTGGTCTTGTCATCCATCTTCGCCACCAAACCCTTGGTTCCCCGGTGACGAAGATGAATCATCGTACCCCTATAAAAATAGGGGGCGAAGTGGTGAAGCATGTGTTGTAGAGAAATTCCTCGATCGGCCAGCTCCGCGTACTTGATGAGCATAAGGAAGAGCTTGTATACGTACGGAGAGAGTTTAGTCGGACACACTTCGTAGAAGCGGCAGAAGTCCACCGCCAAGGAAGGAAGGGGAAGCGTGTATCTGATGACAAATGGATATGCGTAAAACGTGCAGTAGCCTGGGCAGTGTATATGCACTATGTCACGACCCGTCGAAACCAGTTCAATGTGATCGGGGATTCTCCATTTGGTTTTAAATGTGGTGAGCGCCGCGGCATCTATCGTAGAAATAACAGGTTCAAACTCATCCTCAGCAGGGCTCTTGAAGTCAGTCCTTGCCTTTCCTGGGCGGGGGACCACTTCATCCACCGTCGGAAAACTTTCATCCTCCACCATAGCCACTCCCTCTTCGAGTGGGGGAATATCGTTTTCCAGTACCGGGGCACCAACGGGTCTATCAGGGTTGGAGGATGCACTAGCCATCTCTTCTTTGGTTGCGAAAATCGGGAATGAGAAAAAGGTAGCAGTCACAAGAATTTTAAGAGAAAGGGAAATGTGAGAAACTGAAGGAGAAGAAGAAAGCTGCGAGTCTTTCTTGAACGATTGGGAAGCATAGCATTCAAATATAAGATTTTCCCCTATTTATAGGGATATAAATACCCTGAGCGGGAAAACCAAACACCGCCATTTTGAAAACGGAAAGGGCACGGGAAACGACGCGATACATAGAAAACGTGCGCCATAATGACGCATGAGGAGTTCTAATGACATTCTGAACTGACATGACGGTTTGATGCAGCTCTCGAAATGTCACGTCGCTACCTCGCCACGAGGTACTCTCCCATCGCCCAAAGTGCTCAGATTTCTCACAACTTTCGAATCGACAGAGTCCGCCCATCGAGCTAGCCAAAAGATGACCCCAATAGGCGGAGGGGCCAACTGTATGGGTCGAAATATGACCAAACAAGAATTTGCGTGAAGAGAAACGGCAGTCACTTGGGCCAAAGTCGTATTCATACAATGCTATAGCAACGAGCACCTCGGCCACGGCCGAGGTCGTGTACTTAAAATGCTTGTACGGTGAATTGGACGTTACGACATTTCAGAGGGTCAATCTGTACAACAGTTAAATGACTTAGATACTCTGGCTAATGACTGTGGTGTAAATGAGAATACCCAGTATATATACTAGGTAAGAGAACGAAAAAAGGGGGGAGGACACAAAAATCACACGGTTCTTCACTGATGAAAGAAGGTTCAGAACCTTGCTATTCATTTTTCTGTAACCATCGTTATGGAATAAATAAAGACATGCCTCGTGGCCGTTAATGGTGAATTCTTTCTTTCTTCATTATTTTACATTGTAGGGTAACGATGTTGAAAATGAACGTAAGTTCATCATATACATTTGATTTTTTCCATTACCTTTATGAGTTCATGATCTTAACCTTAGCCAACTTTTCTTACTTAGCATTTATTGATCTAGAGTTAATTATCTTTGGTTAGGATTTGCCTTCTATCTTCCTATGTAATTAGTTTAACAAAAGGTCTCACACTTTTTGGTCAAACATTAAGTTTTTTTTGCAAACGTAATTTATCTATTAAATACTTATAAATGCGAAAAAACTAATCGAAATTTATTGATCTGTTTAACGTAATTACACGAATGATTTTCAATTAGTAGTTGTTATTTTTAGTAATGAGTACACATTACTACACAAAACACTATATTTGCTTTAAATCTTATCAGTGGGTAAATGATGAATTAACCCATGGGTTAATGCAACGGTAACATATACTTAAACAAATGATACGTATCCTTCACGAATAATTGAAGGGTAATTTCCATTATTGAGTGCAAAAAAATGCTAAGAAATTTATTTTTCATTTATTAATAATCCACCAAACTTTAATCATAACACAAGTCATCACTTCACAGCTAAGATTAAGAACCAAAAAAACACCTAATGCCACTTTCTAATTTTATACTCTTTCCTTTCCTTTTTGCTTTTTTCTTTCTATACCTTCCACATTTTTCTTTTCAATACTTCACCAAGAAGATTACTTTAGGATAATCTTGTTTTGCTTTGTAATTTATACCTTAGTCGGAATACATCGACAACCTCTTAATTATACTTGTCACTATATTTTACGTAGACATTGGAACTAAGGTATATATTAATTGAGTACCTGAACACATGATAAACTATTTCTATTATACATTTTCGACTCAAACTTTGAAAATCTTTTGCAAGTGGTCTCAAGTGCCCATTACGTGAATAAATTAATCGCTTAAAATATGTCATATTCTTTAATTATGCACATAAAATATAAGCCTTTGTAACAAACAAAAATAAGACATATCACTTAAAAGAACCCAATCAACTAAAAATAAAATCCTTGCTTCGATAAACAAAATACTCGCTCCGTCAAAAGAAGATAATCAAGAGCTATTTATTCAAATTTTCCCAACAACTGTCTAATAAAAATACTTTATCATGTGTTCGGGTGCTTGATTGGAACAATCCTTATTTCAAGTGTCTAAATGAAATATACTAACAAGTTTAAGGGGTTGTTCGGTTTCAAGTATCTAAGTATGTATGCAACATCATGCATTCAACTAACTTAATCTAAAATATTGAAAATATTTTAGTTGATCAATCAACAAAAGAAAAGGGAACAAAAAAAAAAATACGGTTCTCATTTTTAGTTTTATTTTACTTGAATATTTCTGTGAGAAAGGCGAACCATAATAAAAAAGGAAAAAGAAGCGGAAGCGAAAACACTTGGTGAGAAAATAATATTACCATTATTATACTGTCAAGTTGATGAAAATTCTCAAAAAAGAAAAAAAAAAAAGAGAATTTATTAGCAAATTAAAGAAATATAAAAGGATGGAAAAATACAAATAATTAATGATAACGGTAATGTCAACATCATCATAAGACGATAATAATATCAAATACAACCATATTACAGCTTCATTCTCCTTCTTCTTCTATAAACTTTTTCCAAAGAAAACAAACCTCCCAAAAAAAAAAAAATGCTACCTCTAAATCCAAAAAACCATTTTTCTCTCTCTAAATTTCTCTCTTTCTCTCTCTTCATCTCCATCTTCTTCACCATATCTCATTCTGATGATTTCTCATCTCTTTTAACCTTCAAATCCAAAGTTGACACTTCAAATTTTCTCATTTCTTGGTCCAAAAATAATGATCCTTGTTCTTCATGGCTAGGTGTTACGTGTCATCCCGTGACTGGTCGAGTCATTAAACTTGTACTTAATCACTTAAATCTTACAGGTTCTATACACCCTTTAATTCATCTTACTCAAATTCGTCACCTAAGTTTACACCATAATTTTCTCACTTCATTTCCAAATTTCAATTCTTGGCCTAATCTCAAACATGTTTATTTGTCACACAACAAATTTTCTGGTGAATTCCCACCTGGGATTTATCGTTTAAACCGTCTCCGACGACTTGATTTGTCGTATAATAAATTTTCCGGTCAGATTCCGGTGACTGAGTTGAATCAATTGCCACATTTAATGACTCTACATCTTGAGTTTAATTCATTTAGTGGATCACTTGGTATGGATGAAACAAGACATGTTGCTTCATTTAAGGACTTCAATATTTCTGGCAACAACTTTAGTGGGAAAATTCCAAATTGGTTATCCAAATTTCCAGTAACATCTTTTACAGGTAATTCTTGAACCGAGGGTCTATCTGAAACATAATCTCTGCCTTCTTAAAGATAGGAGTAAGGTTTGCATGCATACTACCCTTCCGAAACTTCATCTGGCGATTACACTAGATTTTTTGTTGTTGTTATTATCTTTTACGGGTAATATTAGCATATAGGCGAGTCAGGTCAAACTTGAACGGGTCAAAGCCAGTCAAATCAATAAACGAGTTATGGACTAACTTGTCTAAATTTTGTTTGGTCAAAATGAGTTGAGTTAGGATGAACAAAAAAACCGGATTATTTGCACTATATGGCTTTTTTGGAGGCCACTATTTAGATTCTGTCCTCATTGTTTTAGTGGGCTAGGACTAACTTGTTTAAAGTTTGTTTCGGTCAAAATGAGTTGAGAAAAGATGAACATAAAACGGATTATTTGCACTATATGGGTTTTTTGGAGGCCATTATTTAAATTTTGTCCCCGTTATTTCCATGGGCTAGTTGAAACTTAGTCAATTGGACTAAAAGGGACAGAATTTGAAGAGTGGCTTCAAAAAAGGCCGTATGGTGCAAATAATCTTGAAGTAATTAAAGGTCATAATTCAACGGGAGAAATTCAAAAGTAGCCAGATTTACCACTGGTCGTTGAAAAATAGCCAAGTTTCAAAAGTCATCGAAATTTAGCCACTTTAAATCTGAGCGAAAACACTGTTCAAAATCCGGAAAAATACGCCCGCAAATTTTACGGGAGTTCAAGCATAATTATGCTGGAACTCCCGCAAATTTTACGGGAGTTCCAGCAAGTATAATTGTCCAGTATAATATACTGGAGTTTGGAGCACTGGTGCTCCAGTCTCCCGCAAATTTTACAGGAGTTAGCAAAGTATACCGGTCCAGCATAATATGTTGGAGTTCGTACACAAATGCACCAGAACTCCCGTATATTATACTGGACCGGTCTCTATTGCAGCAAAATAGTGGCTATTTTTCATTGACTTGGTAAACGCTGGCTATTTTTCATTGACCAGTGTGAAAACTGGCTATACCATGATATTTTAACTAATTCAACTCGTCCAACGTGATCCAATTTCCCCTCCTTCTCAATTTCGCTTTATGAAAAAAAAAATGTGAAAGCTAATGTATTTTTCTTACAGGAAACGTTCACCTCTGTGGATATCCGTTACGATCAATTTGCCCGAGTGAAACAGTGAATAGTAATCCAACTGTGATGAATACTGATCCTTCACAACTCAGCTTTCCTAATCAAAAGAAGAAAAATCTAAGTGAAAACATGTTTCTTTTGATAGTCACAATTGATGCAGTGGGAGTTATGCTGACAGTTTTAGTAATAACATGGTGTTGTTATTACAGAAAAAAGAAGAATCAAGAAAAAGAAATTTACAATAAGGTCAAGAAATATCATGATAGTAGTAATAGTTCAAGTTTGTACCATTCATTTGAATATGGCCATATTTTAAAGGACAAAAAAAGTGATCAATTTGCAACAATGGTCTGTTTTGAAGGGTGCAAAGGATTTAGTAAAGTTGATGATTTATTGAAGGCTTCAGCTGAGATGTTAGGAAAAGGGAGTGTTGGAACAAGTTATAAAGTGGCTATGGATTGTAAAGATGTTGTAGTGGTGAAAAGGGTGATTGAAAAGTTAAAGAAAATGAAGGATTTGGATGGATTTTTGAGATTAATTGGTGGTTTGAGACATCAAAATGTTGTGTCACTTAGAGCTTATTATTCTTCTAAAGAGGAGTTGCTTCTTGTCTATGATTTTCTACCCAATGGAAGTCTTCATAATCTCTTACATGGTAATTTCTTTCATCTCTTCTTTTTTAATTCCAAAGTTCAAATTATTTAGTAATAATATAAAAAGGGCAGCCCGGTGCACGAAGCATTTCGTGTTCGCAGGGTTCGGGAAGGACCGCACTCTAAGGGGGTGTGACGTAGGCAGTCTACCCTGATGCAAGCATCAGTGGCTGATTCCACGGTTTGAACCCGTGACCTATAGGTCATACAAAGATAACTTTACTGTTGCTCTAAGGTTTCCCTTCGGTAGTTAAGAATATAACAAAAGACACATAGGATATAAACTAATTGGAGTTGAGAGTTAGTTATTTTTGTGAGTTAAGTATGAAATTTAAAGAAAACCTTAGCTTTAGAATTCCCCTATCTCACCTTAACACAAAGTAGTGTTTAATATTAGAATAAAATTACTAAATAAAATGGAATAGATATAAAGAATTCATATAATTAATCTCGATTATTATGGATTGAGATGTAATTGATTAATTGACTTAAAGTTTAACTAATATATATTGTTAGTACAAATACTAAAATTTAACCTTTTATAACTTGTTGTATGTCTTATTTTATTATAGTTTGTTACATTTATTATAGTGTAAATATTTTTTTTTTTTACGTTATATGTGCATAAAACTTAAACTTACAGGAAATCGTGGACCAGGAAGAACACCATTGGATTGGACAACAAGATTAAAATATGCATTAGGAGCAGCAAAAGGACTTGCTTTTTTGCATAGTTACAACAAAACCAAGATTTGCCATGGAAATTTCACATCATCAAACATACTAATTGATCACTTTGGCAATGCTTGTATTTCTGATATATGTCTCCATTTGCTCTTACAAATGCCAAATTCATCAAATAATGGATACAAAGCACCAGAATTATTAACTCAAAACAACATGAACACAAACCAAAATCCAAGAAAATTTTCTCAAAAATGTGATGTTTATAGTTTTGGAGTGGTTTTATTAGAGATTTTGACAGGAAAAATTGCAACAAGTGAAGGAGAAATAAGTTTGGCAAAATGGGTACAAAGAGTTGTGAATAAAGAATGGACTTGGGATGTATTTGATTTTGAACTTGCTAGGTATAAAGAGATGGAAGATGAAATGGTTGCACTTCTAAAAGTTGCTATGGCTTGTTTGGTTTCATCTCCAAAAGATAGGCCAAAGATGATTGTGGTGGAGAAAATGATTGAAGATATCAGAAAAACGGAGAACAGATGAAGGGGCAGACTCATTACTCATCGAGTTTCAGACCTTGCGTCACTCGGTGATAGGCCAAAGATGATTGTGGTGGAGAAAATGATTGAAGATATTAGGAAAACGGAGAACAGATAGAGGGACAGACTCATTATTCACCGAATTTTAGACTCTGCGTCACTAACCCTCGGAGATTTCTCGGTTCTTTACTTCTAATTTTTCTCCTTATGTTGTTGAACTCTATTGATTTGATTCTTAGTAGTCAATTAGCCATGATGACTTTTTGTTTTCAAATTTTTTTTCCTAAAAAATTGTTCTCATAAGGTTTTTTGTGTAATTTGGTACAATTAGTATACTATTCTTTAATTTTTATTTTTTATTTTTTTGGTTTTCTTGCATGTATTGTCCATTTCTTACAATTGTGTTTGGGAAAGAGAATGAAATAAAAAAATTAATAGGATCACTAATTGTTTTCTTCTTATATGTACACTATATTTGTCATTATTATTAGAGGCAGAGCAAGGATTTGAACCTTATGGGTTCAGGTAACAAAATATTTTAAAGTTATTGAGTTCTAAATTAATAATTTATACATATTCAATGAATTTCTTGAAACAAATACATGATTTGGACGAAAACTAATAGGTTCGATCGAACCCGTATCTTCTACTCTGTGTCCGCCCCTGATTATTGTTGGACTGAAAGGAAGTTATTCTCACTATTTAATCAAAGATCCAACTCAAAAAATGAAAGAAATAATATAAGAATGTACAAAAACAGAATTTTGTTATCCAACTAATTAAAAGGTGCCAAAAAAAAAATTTGTTCAAGAACTTTTAATAGCAATGACTATTGAGCTAGTATTACTGTTTCTATCGCTAAGGGTTGCGGTGTAATGGTAAAGGTTCCTTTACCCTTAACCGAAATTTTCTTTGGCAGAGAGCGCTAAAACCCTCTTAGTTAATTTTTTTTTACGGTGCAAATCCGTTCTAGTTGGACCAGTGGATTTCGGACACCAAATATTTAAACCATTTTGAGAAAAATTCCATTTTATCTTCTTTGAAGTAATCAATAAAATACAGAGTCCACTTTCTAATTTGGTCCAAAAATTTTTGAAGCAAATATTTTTTTGTTGGAATATGGTTGAACCAGAGATAGAATTTGGTACCACATTTAACAGTTGTAGTAGAGCTTGACAGCTTCTTGCAGTTTATGTATGAAATAGTATCATTCTTGCGGATCAGATGCGGATTCAAAATTTATAAATATGTATTGCATAATATAATATTATTTTTAAACTTTTCGCACGCACAAATTATATTTGTGTGTCTATGTGTCGACGTATATGTAACTCAGTGGATACAAATACAGCAAAACAATAGTCGAGACGCGCGCATGCTAAAGGCCATAATATTTAGCTATAAAGTTTCAAGAGAAGATATTTGATGTTTTACTTTAGAGAACCATTGAAACTTTTTACCATAAAAGAAAAAACACACACTCTTGAACCACCTCCTTCGGATTTCAATATCATTTTTATTTTCTTTTGCTCAAATTTGACTAATTTTTGAAGCAATACTTAAATGTCAATTTAGTTTCTTTTTTAAATTTAGAGATGCATGATATACAAATAAATTAATTATAACAACAATAATACATATTTATCAAAACAATTTTATTTAACTCTTAAAAATAAAAATTCGACACATCACCTAAGTGACATGGCTAGAGAATATCACGTGGTAGTTCTTTTCTCAATTTTAGTTTCTTTTTTATTTAGCATAGTATTTCAAGTGGCCACGAAAAAAAGGGGGAAACTATCAAACGTTACGATGGAGTTATAATTACTCCTTCGATTCTTAATCAGAGATCAGATTTGATCCAAAGAACGAAGTCACTTTTGGTAGAAAGCACTTTACCTTCTAAAGTGAAATTTTTTGGTACGGACCTGGACTAATCGAGCTCCAAAACAGATACCGAATATCGAGTGAGCAACCAAAATTGAAAAGCATTTGCACCATACAAAGATAATTAATGCATACATTCTACATATGATGGCTTCATTATCATGATTTCATTTTCAGCCAGTCTGGATAATTAAGGCTAGAAAGACATGTACAAAGGACCTGTTTTGCAATGCCAGTTGCAGTTAAGGCCCATGATAGAGACTTGAGAAAATATAGGGGCCTTTCTATAGGAACAAATGTTTTGACAAATACTCCACATACAACTTCCAAAATCCCCGAGGGTCGATGGCACACCGTTCGAAATTTGATAATAAATATGTCTGTATCTCTATCTTTTTCCATTTAAATATTAGGTATTTATTTGCGGCAGGATTCAAACTCATGACGCGTACCTAATCCTCATATAACGCGATGCTCTCTTATCGCTAGACCAAAACTCTAGTGGCCGTTGGTTGGATGTGCATAGTTAGAAAATCTTAATAATATATACTCACCTTAAGTCAGTACCCATTATTACATAGGAGTAACGGGTTGCAGTGATATAATATACGACTGACTTAAAATCTTGAATTCGACTCTGATCTACCGAAGAAAAACAAGGGTCACAATATCAAGGAGCCATTTTGTTTTAGCTTAAATAATATGTCTGTCTCTCTATTTTTTTCCACTTAAATATTCGATTTTTATCTGTTCAACCTTCTGACGTGCGCCTAAAAATTGAGTGGACGCGTATAGTTAGATAATCTTAATAAAATATACTCACTTTAAGCCGGTACACATAATACCATAGGAGTAACGGATTGTGGTGATATAAAGTACAACTAACTTAAAATCTTGGATTCGACTCTGGTCACCAAAGAAAAGCAAGGCTCTTTGCACAACTGTTTGCCTTGCTGTTTCTTTATGAGGAGCCATTTTGTTTTAGCTAAAAGGTGTGAATGATGTGCCAAAAGGGTCCCCAGTGACTCACTGGCAATGACCTATTTGATAGGACTAAGATTCTTCTCTCAAAATACTAACATGGCTCAATGATGTGACATTCTAAAAATAAATACAGGCAGACCTCTCTATAACATCATCCATCTATAATAGTCATTAACTATAACAGCCAAGTTTTCTTAAAACCGAGCTTTTGTGTTATATTATAATATATGTCCTCTATAACAGCACTTTACTATAGCATCCAAAAAATATTAGAACAAATGCAGTTGTTATAAAGACGTTTGACTATAGAAGGAAAGGGCACAATTAGTCATTGAAAATAAAGTGAAATGAAAAATACTTTGGATTTTTTGAACAAAAAAGTGAATAAAATAATGAAGGGGCTTTTAGTGTGACGATTTAGCAATCAGAAAAGGATTCATTTCTTACCGTCACCACCTAACATAAAATTTGATTGCTCAACAGCCGACCAAAGTGCTCTATACTTCTTCACAATCGTCTTTCGTATAGAAAGAAAGTAGAAACACAAAATGTCACATACTAAAAGTAAACAAAATAAAGATGCACTGTCAAACTGCAGGATGGTAACACCAGTAAGTAGACTGATATACTACTTTCATTTAAGTAGGAAGGGCAATGTAGTGAAGTGCAGACATGGAAAACAACCAGGTTCTTGCACTGTGAAATTTACAATATTCCCGTGGGACTAGATATTCGAAGAAAATGGGCAAGAAAAAGAAGAAAACAGCTAAAATCTAACAAGAAAGACAATGCCCGCAATGTGAGACGAGGACTTGAAATTGCGCGATGCACTTGAAAATACATGATCACCTGCCTTTAAACTGTTAAAAAAACCTTTGACCTTAAACTCACCTATACATAGAATCCCCTCGCTAACAGCAGCTCGACAATGATTCCCAAAGGGTTGGAAGTCAGAAGTCTTGCATGAAAATAATGAACTATATGGACATTGAGTTGATAAGTAGTCTTTACCAATGTTTTTAAAACTAAGGTCCTACTGGAGCAATGCCTTTGGTTTTGGCAGTGGCTGCAGCAGCAGCAGCAGCGGCCGCAGCTGCAGCTGCACTTGGACTCGAGGGAGGTCTTGAATTGGACTGTGATGTACTTTCAACTCTAACTAATTGTTGTTGTGTTTGCTGTGTTTGTTGAGAACTGACCTGGGCAATCAAGGCCTTGATCTGGCCTCCAGTTAATGTCTCCTGCTCAAGCAATGCATTAGCAAGCGCATGAAGCTCTTTACTGTGGGTAGTGAGAATCGTTTTTGCATTGTTGTAAGCCCTTTCGAGTAGTTCTTTTACTTCCTTCTCGATAAGAAGCCTAGTCTCAGTGCTCATACTCCTCCCGTTATCGTCGTAGTTGTGAGTAACGAGCCCCACTTCTTTGCTCATACCAAACTTGGTGACCATGGCTCTCGCTAGCTTGGTAGCTTGCTTGAGATCATCAGATGGACCAGACGTTACTTCACTTTCCCCAAAAATGAGCTCTTCAGCAACTCGCCCACCCATAGTAACATCAAGCCGAGCAAGCATCTGTTTACGAGACATGGTAGTCTCGTCCTTTTCAGGCAATTGAGCAACCATACCAAGAGCCATGCCTCGTGGAACAATAGTTGCTTTGTGCACCGGAAGGGCCCCGTCTGTATGCATCGCTACAAGTGCATGGCCACCTTCGTGGTACGCTGTGAGTTTTCTCGTCTCTTGGGATATAAAAGCCGATTTACGCTCACTTCCCATCATAATCTTGTCCTTAGCATGCTCTAGATCTGCCAAACTTACGGCTTTGGCACCATCCATTGCAGCCTTCACAGCAGCGATATTCACCAAGTTCGCAAGGTCAGCACCAGAAAATCCAGGAGTACCCCGAGCAATGATCATAAGGTCAACATCGTCCGCCTTCAGAATCTGCCAAACAGGATATTCTTTAGATGGTAGTTAGCAATGATAGACCAAACATGGAAAAAAGGAAGCTTGACATAGTGCAACATAGTAACTCATTTTTATTCTAGGACATGAAAATAGAAAGAGAGTAGCAATTTACAATTAAAAAACAGCAACTAGATAAGAAATGATGAATCAATGACAAAGTAAAATATGCCAAGGCAAAAGAAACAGGAGAAGATATCCCGTCACTGAATTTTGGAGATGATAACATTTATTGCATCTTAGAAAACTTCGAATAATCCATCATGCAGGGTAAATGAAAATATATCACCAATACACCAGGAAAGAGGATGTGACGCACAACAGGTTTATCATCTAAAACAATAAATGGGAAAAGAAAACAGGGGAAAGATTACCTTTGACATGTGAGATTCAAGAATCTGTTTCCGCCCTTCGACATCAGGATTTGGGACAACAATGTTGCGATCAAACCGTCCAGGTCTCACCAATGCCTTATCCAGTGACTCGGGAAAATTAGTGGCAGCAATCACAATGATACCATCATTTTG